TAAATAATTATACATAAGCCCTTTATATATATAAATATATCTATACATTATATACATAAGGATAAATAATATTATAAAACTCTAATCTACTTAGTATATCATACACTTAGTTCGTATTTTGAAAGAACATATTTTTTCTGATGATATTATAAAAAAATTTAGAGTACTAAAAAAGTGTTAATAAAGTTTATTTATCCAAATTTGTAAAAATATAATTGTATTATGGATTATGCATAAACATGATTTAAGTTCGACTGTTTAAAATCCAAGAATATAACTTTTTCATGGAAATCTTCAATTTGAGTTTTTTGTTTGTTTGTTTGTTTGTTTGTTTTTCATGTTACTTTCTTGGGGTGTGATCTTTTTATAAGCTGTCAAGAATTAGCAGGTCAAGTTATTTTTATGGCCGTCCACCATCAAACCAATCTCTGTGCATTATATGAGTACTTCCGCTGTTCACTGTTCATTATCAAGTAATAAGAGACATATCTTACCAACAGGGGAAAAAAAAAAAAAAAAAAAGAAAACAATTAAGTAACATACCAAGTAAATTTGAAATGCCATGAGCTCCTTAAACTAAATTTATTCGGAAAAAGAAAAAGAGATGCAAAATAATTACACTTCCTGCATGGATAATTAATTTGTCAATTCTAAAAGATCTTTTTCTATATAACCGGTAATGCTGCCATCGTCAATGAACGTAATATTAGTAGCATTGGATTAAACGGAGATCTAAGAGCTAACGAAAATCATATACATTATTACAACTCAACATATGACCAGCAAGAAGAAAAATTAGTTGGTGGAGGATACGTTTATCAGGAATTTCACTCTCAACAAAGTGCATTCACCATATTTTACCTGACTAAGTAATCCACAGCTTTCCTCCTTCCAGTTTCTGTCTATCTAAAGAGACTGCTGAAGAAAAACAAGGAAATGTATTAAAACTGAACTGGAACTTATTCAGTGATTATGTTGACTTTCCTTCGAGCTTCAGTGAACCAAATTTAACATTCCCCAGTTCAGCAGCGGCACGGGCTGCTGCAGTTGCACGTTCAGCAGAGGCAAGTGCAGCTCGGGCTCTTTCCAGGACATCAGATGATGATGTTGCTGCCTCCCTTTTGAACTCATCAACTTGTCCAGAATCATAAGTTTTACTTGATAGTGTATTTGATGGCTTGATTTCACTGGTAGCCACCCATGCTATATTGCTTACAGGACTAGCAGATTGAACGTGTTGAGATCCTTGTTCAGCATGTATAGGAACAGTAGAATATTCTCCATCAGACAGTGAAGATTTAAGAGAGAGATGCTTGGGGAGAGCTTCAGAAACTGCAGTTTCAGAACATATTTGCTTCGATCCACCCTATGTATAAGAAGGCCAGAAGTTATATTTAATGGTCTATAGACATATATTCCCTTCATATAGACAGAAATTCCTTTCAGTGCATCAGAATTAGATGTTGGCCACTTTGTAGAAGTAACCTCTCCTTTTTCACTAGAAGAAAACAAATCATAATATCTTACCAACTGAAATTCATGTAGGGTAATGAGAAAGGAATTAAGATTTAATAAATGACTTACACCTACATTAATATTAAAGTGCGCCTAGCACTTTGGATTTACATCAAATTGCACTTTATGTGTATTAATGTACACTTCGAACCATCATAGTATACTATATGGCACTTTACTAGTTAACAATTTCTATTAACTTCAGCAGCATCCGTAAGTAATATTTTCTGTTATGTATTTTTTTTTTTTGAAATAATTTTCTATTATGAATTTAAAAAAAAGGAACAGAACAAAAAAAAATTGCATTTTCATCCCAGGAATTTGAAAAATCTGTTGAAAATGAATTGAATCATGTTTGGATCTGTTTTGAACACCTTTCCCAATCTAGATTTCCCTTGAAATGCATGAAAACATCATGTTCCATTGAACACTTAAGAAATCAAGTCTGTGTTCCCACCTGGCCTGGCTGCTGTTTGGAAGCTGTGGTAATTCCACTTTCCTTATCAGAAAAACATCCATGTTCTGTCTTTTACTTCCTAGTACCAAGTTTCTTTCATGGGTTACCCTTTTTGGTCCAAGAAAGTGCCAACTT